CTGCTAAATTAAGGACAGCTAGCGCAGATAGCCCTCGTGTAGCTTTGCGCGAAATTCAAAAAACAAACAACCAAACTAAGACAAGCAAACTTGATCAGACTCATCTTACAAGATCATCCCGCCCACAAACACAATCGATTTGAATATATTCTGGTGCGAGTTCAAGCCACAGTATACAATCAGTTTTTTTTTTAAAGAAATGTTTCGTCTAGTTTAGCATAATGGAGTTTGGATTATAATTTGATAGGCTAGAAACAAAGGCAACTGTACTAAAATGTGGCAGCAAAATGGTAAAAGTGATTATTCCTATAATGTGTGGCCTTAACGGTACCGTTCTGCAGGATGTAGAGACTGACATTTCTGCCATGTAGTACTAATATCGCAACGTGAAGTATTGAGACAGTAAATGTTATTATAATTTTACCGAATTATTAATATTACAATTCCTGTAAAAGCAGGTGATTTATAAATCTGAATATAAGATAACGCTACTGAATTCACATATGTAAACAACAACACCATATCTCAATAAGTGTGTTATTAAAATTGTAACGATAGATCATTCTTCTTTGAAATGTTGTAAACGAGAGAATACGTTTAACAGAAGGTTGAGTACGTTATATTAAAACAGAAGGTTGAGTACGTTATATCCAAACAGAAGGTTGAGTACGTTATATTAAACAGAAGGTTGAGTACGTTATATCCAAACAGAAGGTTGAGTACGTTATATTAAAACAGAAGGTTGAGTACGTTATATCCAAACAGAAGGTTGAGTACGTTATATCAAAACAGAAGGTTGAGTACGTTATATTAAAACAGAAGGTTGAGTACGTTATATTAAAACAGAAGGTTGAGTATGTTATATCAAAACAAAAGGTTGAGTACGTTATATCAAAACAGAAGGTTGAGTACGTTATATTAAAACAGAAGGTTGAGTACGTTATATTAAAACAGAAGGTTGAGTATGTTATATCAAAACAGAAGGTTGAGTACGTTATATCAAAACAGAAGGTTGAGTACGTTATATTAAAACAGAAGGTTGAGTACGTTATATTAAACAGAAGGTTGAGTATGTTATATCAAAGCTATTTTGAATATACGAATCAACAAGTTATGCGACAATCACAGTCAATATAAAGTTGCGATGGAACGACATATATTTCATCTATATATTAGATTTCACATTGTCTGGCGTTTGTAGGTAGTTGAAAGCCACCAAAGTTTGATCACTTTTTGGAAAGGTATATAACAACCCTTTTCGACGCAGAATATACATACACTCAGATCATAATAATTTGTTCAGATAGGAGATTTCGAATTTCAAAGATGATAACATTCATTGCACTTAACTGAATTGGAAAGCGAATGAATTTGGATCAACTCGGGGTACCAGTGCAATCTATAAAGAGACATGCAACAAGTCGTACCCCAGATAGATAGGCAAAGTGCAGTCTGTTAACAGATGAAGACCTACAAACACAAAGGTCACTGATAAAAGCCGTCTACGTGCCCCAGGTAACAGTACGCAACATCATCAGAAAGGATTTTGGTCTAGAAAAACCATACAAGTTGTTTCCACAACATACCTGTTTTTAAATCATTGCATACCTCAACTAGCGAGCAAATGAAATGGTTATTCATGCTATTTTATATGAAGACATGCCGTTATCAGATGCAGCGTCTATTTATTTCTATGCGATCGAACTTTTTACACTAGATGGATTATGGGAAGCCAGCAGGGAGTAGGGGTGTGCTTTAGACATGACAACAGGGAAGCCTTACGATAGAGTTTTTTTTGTTTTTGCTGCAGAGGTGGTGAGGTTTCAAAATTGTTTTAATATAACATACTCACCTTTATATATATAATTAAGTATATATTTTTGTAAATGTAGAAGCAAAATAAATATATGTAACTTATAAATCATATTTCATTTATTGTTTGTTTCTGAAATGTAAAATCAAGTTCTTTATCTTTTTCTTCTTTAGAAACTTTTCGGTATGGCAAAACGAACAGTATGGGAATTGTTTCACATTCAACGATTATAGTAACAAAGATCAAAACTTTATCAAAAAAATTTCCAATAAATTTGGATCTGTGTACGGTAGGTACAATTATAGTTTCACATATGAAATCATAAATAACAGAACTTTGTGAACCCAGTCATGTCAAAAATAGCTATATAACTGTGTTATGTTTCTAGTATTTTTTGTAAAAATCTAAATCTGGCGAAGTAATAAGTTCATTAGGTCAAATAATCCTGATTAAAATTACAGTTGATTACAAATGTTTTTACCATATTTCTCTTATTGAATATAAAAAGAATTTCAGATAAAGTTCCCTAAACAAGAAGGATCCATTGGAATGGATACGTAAAGTCAAAATAACAATCCGAAGACCTTAAATTTGAATAAGAAAAAAATAATTAATACTCAGTTTTGTAATTTTGACATTTTTGTTCCAATACTCTTTGTAGCACTAAAACTTTTATATTACTATGGCTAGCAAGGTTACTTGTGTTTCTAAAATTAATTATTTTTACTACTTGTGTGTTTCCTTTTTATCAGCTATATTTTTGTACGCCAGCAATACCAAGCGTGGGGAGCGCGATACCCGATTCGATTTTATTACTCATCAATATCTTTACCAACCTACCCTCAAATCTAATTATAAGCCCAAAGTAGCGCATCGTCCGTTATATATATATATATATATAATAATATCATTTTCAGTAAAAAGAGAGGAATCATTGGGACCCCAGACAGAAAAAGTTCTATGAAAGAATTAAAGCGATAAGGTTCGTCATTTTTTTTCTGTACAAGTCTGGAAAATTCGTTGAAATAGTGAAATTTTATTCACTCCATAAATACGTATATAGCGCGTTAGGCGGCTTTATAAATACAATTAGCTTTAATTTTGCTCAACCAATACTGTGAAATAGTCATTGCTAATATTCAGACATTTTAAAGATGGTTTTAAACGGACTATTTTTATGGCTGTCGTAATTAATGATTGGTAAATAGATTTTAAGTCCACGTTTGTTTGTACAAACTTAGAGATTAGTTGTGTACAATCTTAACTTCGAGGCAAGATAATCTCATGGATTTTAATGGAAGATAAATTAATTTTTCCAGTGTGATGTACTAGATTAACAAAGTTTATTACACGTAAAGACAGATTTCTTGGGGGCTCTAATAGACCCAAATAAATAACCCATAAAAATATTAGTCCCAGTTGTGCAGATTACTGAAGCGCTAATGATGATTTTCATACAGGTATTAATATTTATAACTCTTTTGTTCTGTTCTTTTTTTCCTAAAAAACAAACAAACTTAGCTTGCAGCAACAAAAACATATTTATAACGATCATGTACTTACATTTGTTTATCTGGTAGTATTCAGAAGTACTTTAACGTATTAAAATGTTTTATTGTTTAAAACTTATCATAATATTGGTCTTATAACTCGATAAATTTTACATGTATCACAATATTGGTTTTACAACTAAATATCTTTACATATCATAATGTTGGTTTTACATCTAGATATTTCTTTACACTTATTACATTATTGGTTTTACAACTAGATATTTCTTTACTTATCACAATATCGGTTTTCAACGTGATACTTTTTTACACTTGTTACAATATTGGCTTTACAACGTGATACCTTTTACACGTGTCACAATATCAACTTTACAGTTCGATACTTTGTACACTTGCAGTATTTGTTTAACAAGCAGATATCTTTTACTGAACGTTGATACAACTAGTATCTTTAACACTTCTTTTAATATTGATTTTACAACTATATACACTTTTTTACTACTGTTACAATATCGTAAACTCGTTTTGTAAAATGTATTACTTACCGAATTAACAATTCGGATCATTTACAGGACTTCGCTTGTTACTGAAGATTTCGAACAGACAAGAAAATGTGCCTTTCTACTCTCCCCAAAGTGGTGTTCGTGTTGTAGTCCATTCTCCATCAGAAATCGCTTTTCCCGAGGATTCAGGAGTTGACATTCCTCCACGAATGACAGGCACCATATCTGTTGAGAAGGTGAATTTTAAAGAAAGTTAAAACAAATGATTTAACGTTACTCTTGAAAAATCATGAAGCATAACTGCGTGATGCTGCTAATAAAACAAGGCATGGGGTGCAAGTTACACAGCTTGTTCAACTTACAACTAATCTAACTGACACAATTTTTAGAACAGGATGTCTCATGCCCTGTTATACAAAGTGTGTCATATCCCATGCCCTGTTATACAAAGTGTGTCATGTCTCATGCGACACAGATTGTATAACAGGACATGAAACATAACACAGTTGATATAACAGGACATGAGTCATGACACAGTTTGTATAACAGGGTATGAGACACGACACAGATTGTATAACAGGACATGAAACATAAAACAGTTTATATAACAGGACATGAGAAATGAAACAGTTTGTATAGCAGGGCATGAGACATGACACATATTGTATAACAGGACATGAAACATAACATATTGGTGTTGTTCAACATTTGTTTGTTTTTTAGAGCAAAGCCACACTGGGCTATCTGCTGTGTCCATCACGACGAAATGAACCCCAGATTTTAGCCTTGTAAGTCCGTACACTTACCATTGTCCTTCCGGGGTACGGTTTGTAACACACGAATATGTCAATATCAAAAAAGATGTATGGAGAATAGGACAGCTCCATTTTTGCTTAATGTTTTTCTAGACGCTAAAACTCCATATGTCAATTACTATCAATAGAAAAATTATTTCGATAACTTTAAAAGTCCTAGGAAGTTTCTGAAGGGGAAAATGAAATTACTGAGGTTTTAATGATGTGACGACAAAAGCTCAAGGGGAAATGAAGTTACTGAGAGATGTAGGGCGAGTGACAAGTTGGAAATCAGGTACAGGTGATTGTAGAAACTCTAAAAAACTGGCATAATATTAATGGTACGCTTGCAAATGGAACAAATGGTAAATAAATATGTATATTTTGGAAATGTTTGACAAATAGTGTTGTGATTATATCGTACATATACTTTATGTCTATTCAATAATGTGAAAATGATACCGTTTGTTGCTTTTCAAGATTTTATATAAAATTTTTCAATAGAATTAATACCCCCCCCCCATGAAAAAGGAACACACTTCGAACCCGTGACATGCAGACTGCGAGACGAGCGCCCTAACTACCTGGCCATGCCGGACCCAGTGTTTAGTAAGTTACAAAATGCTTTAATGTCCGATTAATAATTGTGTGAAATAATTCATTCAAAAATTCCATTTTCAACTCAAAGTTAACTTAATAATTACATAATTCTAGCTACTTTCTCCATTCAAATTATATAACTGAACTTCTCCCCGTCACACTAAACATGCTCGCCATTTCAGCCGTGGGGGCGTTATAATGTGACGGTCAATCCCATTATTCGATTTCGGTAAAAGAGTAGCCCAAGAGTTGGCGGTGGGTGGTGATGACTAGCTGCCTTCCCTCTAGTCTTACACTGCTAAATTAGGGACGGCTAGCGCAGATAGCCCTCGTGTAGCTTTGCGCGAAATTCAAAACAAACAAACAAACAGTTTACGTCATTAGTTGTTAATGGTGAAATAGTGTTAAGTAAAACAAAAGTACAAGTTCGTTTGGTTTATTGTTTCGATTGGCATATTATAGTTCAAAGTACAGTATAGGCTGTTCATTAATGCAAGACCAATGGTTACTTATTTCAATAAGCATCCAAATTTACATATTATGTGTGGTTTTTATCTTCTTTCAATATTTTTAGAGAGAAATTCACCGGCTGGAACGACCCCATGGAATTTGCTCTTACGAATCTGACGTTGAAGGCTGGAAATTGGTGGCAGATAAATTTAATTATTCTAAGAGTGTGAGTATAAGTACTTGGATTTAACATCGTACAAGTTAAAAGGCATTTCCAACAGCAGTTGTAACCTATGGATAGTTACTATTGTTTCTGTTATTTGTATGCACTAGGTCTGATGAATTTGTTTCTGTGTATTTTGTGTTGCGACACGACACATTTGCTGTAGAAATTGTAGTTTTGGGGCCAGATAGAGGGTGATTTTGCTTCTTTAACCTCTGACATAAAAATATAATTTAGAAATATTGCCCATGCATTTTTCTCTTCTGTATCTTCAGGCATGCTTGAAGGCGTGTAGAACGAAGCAAATCCTCACCAACTGCAATTGCGCATTGAGCATGCGCCTGGCAGAATTTATGGATCAAGATGCCGAAATGTGTCCGGTAGGAGAAGTGGGTTAGTAACATTATTCTATCTTTTAATTTTTATGTCGAGTGTTTGAATTATGTTCAAAGCGTTATATCCATAAACATTACTTTTTTTTTCTGAGCCCGATGAGCTACGGGTTGGAAGGTCCAAGGTTCGCGCCGAGATATGTCTCTGAAAATGCTTAGCACTTTCAGCTATTGGGGCATTATAACTGTGATAGTTAATCCGCTACTCGAGGGCATTATAACGTTACAGTTAATCCGGTACTCGGGGGCATTATAACTGTGACAGTTAATTCGCTAATCGGTTAAGATTAAGAGTGTAGTGGGTACTGCTGAATGTTCAGCAGTTTTAAATTAAGAATTGTTAAGCCTGGTGTCTCTGTCCTGGTTATGTAATACGTTTGGCATAAAGTATGGTTCGGGTTGAAATTACCAACTACCAGTATAGTACCTATGCTGTAGTTTTGAAAAAAAAAAGGTAAATAATATACCATGTCTTTGATCAATTCAAACTTAATCAAATATAAAATTACACAAACAAATGTATTAGAATAACGGTTTTTAATATATGTCAATGTCTTACTGCTTTTTTTTGTGAAATCTAAAGATAAAATATGATAGTTGATTGTATTGCAACTTGTGTATGCAAACACGGCAGTAATAACATTAATAAAATACTAACATAGTCGATTTTTTAACTTTTTGATCTAGACAAATGCGTGAACAATCAGCTCGTTTCAGAAAACTGCACGTGCGATCCAGGATGCCGGTAAGTTAAAACAAATATGAATGGTTTCCGTATATTTCAAAGTAGTATATTCTACTTTAGTTTCATTCCCTTTTAATCTTTTATTGAAGAATGTACATAACGATGATAGTCAAGGAGATATCTTTATTAAGCACTGTTTGCTTTCAAGTTAGTCTGCAAGTTTCTGCTGTTACTTTAATTTAAATTCAATTGAAGTACATGAAGATAAAAACGAGTTTACAGCAAAAAAGGATAATTTTTGTTTTTAAATACACGATATTTTAATTTGCTTTTAGTTTTTGTGATGTATTTCATTACTTTGGGAAATGTTATTCAATTATTCATGTATGTTTTATTTTAAGTATCACATAGTAAAAGGCGCTGCATGGCAAAATGATTACTCTAACACCATGTATAAGATTTGATTCAAACATCAGTTAAGCCTATTAGAGTTTTCTATTGTCTGTAATATTTAAATGTTATTACAGAATAGTAAGCAAACAGGACTTTAAAAAATATGTTGAAGTATTTTTGTTCTTAAGAACAAGAATTTGAGATAATCTAAACACTCGACACATTGAAACATTCTACAGCCTATTGCTTCTTAAACTACCTTAGATTGGACGAAACATTTTTATATAGTTATGATAATAGCAAATCATGTTGGATCAAAAACTGTATAGAATCATAAAAAAAAAGAAAATTCATAACCCTAGCGCTTTCGGAAGGTGGATTATGATTTGTATTCATATGCCAATGTTTAATATCAGTCCTTGAAATGTGATTTCGAGTTTTTTATTTTTGTAATAACACTACCTGTCAATTTAAAAACAAATAAGATAAAGTAGGCATATAAGTGAGAATTGCTCTACCGAAATGCATCAGTAATAGAGACTGATGACATCTGAAACCGCCTTCGTTTGGGTAAGCTGTTGTATAGATCTAGCTGTGAGCTGATGACACCTGAAACCGCCTTCGTTTGGGTAAGCTGTTGTATAGATCTAGCGTGAGCTGATGACACCTGAAACCGCCTTCGTTTGGGTAAGCTGTTGTATAGATCTAGCTGTGAGCTGATGACACCTGAAACTGCAGTCGTTTCAGCTGGTAATCTTATAAACCTAGCTGTGGACTTAGAACAGCTGAAACTGTCTGAATTTGAGTTAGTCGTCTTATAGATTAGCTGTGAGCTGTGGACAGCTGAAACTGCAGGCGTTTCAGTGGTAATCTTATAAACCTAGCTGTGGACTTAGAATGGCTGAAACTGTCTGAGTTTGAATTAGTCGTCCTATAGATTAGCTGTGAGCTGTGGACAGCTGAAACTGCAGGCGTTTCAGTTGGTCGTCTGATAACAGATGAAACTGTTTCATCTTCAGATGGTTAAGTTTCAGTCTTAGTTGTGAAGTGATGGCGATAGAAGTGTGTCGCTTCTGTTGCTCATCTTACCAATCTAGTTGGACTGATGATAGCCGACACTACATCCTTCTGTTGGTATTAATATGAATTTTATTGATCATAAATAATATTTTTTATTTTATAAAAAAGTCATTTTGAAGTTTCACTTTTTTATAACCTTTCGTAACAAAGAGAGCATCAATACAAAACGACTGCAGCATACAGCTTAATGAATGAAGACCACTTGTGTGTTGGTGACCTCATGGGAATCTTAGGAACAGATAGTGAAGGAGGATTGTGTGGGGAAAACACGTAAGTACCTGTTAAAGCTGTATTTGATTTTGAAAATATTCTAGGCGTAGTTGTGTAGTAAGGAACAGAAATTATCGTGATGTTTATATTGTGTTTATATGCATGCTACGTCTTCTTTCTCAAAGTATAAACAGCTTGCATTTTCGATCGATATATTTAGAGCGATTCCAAGAAACTTTCTACATTACAGTCGGAACAAGGCACGATGAAAGGAGCTGAAATGTTTGAGTATATAATCAAATGCAGGGTTAATTATTTTTCATTGTCTTTAAAACCAAAACGAGTTAGCACGGCATTGAAATGTAACTTTATAATAAATTGAGATTATGTAATCATAGAAAGACCACATAATTTATGAATCATATATATGTATATATATATATATATATATACAT